TGCCCTGCTTTGCTTAATCCTTTATTATTTCTTTTGATAGAGGAACAGAGTAGAACAACTTAAACATAAGATTGTAAAGATGAAATAGAGTAGATAATACAAAAAACATAATTTTTCACAGTTATGAAAAAATAGGGTAAATTATTTTTTAAGTTTAAATTAGAAAACAAAAAGAGACAGAGGGAGCCACGGCCAAGCAAAAGAAAAGGCAGGTGAGGGATAACAATTTTCCTTTCCAGAATTTGTCCAATATTATACTCTTTGTTGCTGATATAAAATTCTGTCTTCATCAGTTGATATTGCAACTGATACTGCAAGATTCAAAACTCCAAAGGATCACTACAGGCTACCAAGAGTAACTATATGCCAATAAATTAGAAAATCTGGAATAAATGCATAAATTTTTAGACATACACAAACTGCCAAGAGTGAACCAGAAATAAGTTCAAAACCTGAATAAACCAATAAAAAGTAACAAGATAGAAGCAATAAGAAGTCTGCCGAAAATAATATCTAGGACTTAGTGGCTTCACTGTTGAATTCCGCAAGCATTCAAAGAAGAACTACTAATCCTACTTAAACTATTCCAAAATATTGAGGAGGAAGGGATCCTCCCAAACTCATTCTATTAGTTGTGTAATAACCCTGATACCAAAACCAAAGACACAACAAAAATATTAAACTATAGGCCAATATTACTGATGAACATAGATGCAAAAATCCTCAACAAAATACTAGCAAACTGAATTCAATAACACCTTAAAAAGACATCCCAGGTATGCAAGGATGGTTTAACATACACAAATCAATGTGATGCACCATATCAACAGAATGAAGGAGAAAAACCATACTATCATTTGAATCAATGTTGAAAAATCATTCAGTAAAATACAGGATAAAAACTGGGTATAGAAGCAACTTATCTCAACATGATAAATGGCATCTATGACAGACCCACAGCTAGTATCATACTGTATGGGGAAAAGCTGAAAGCCTTTCCTCTAAGATCTGGAACAGGGGTTCTCAAACTTTTTAAACAGGGGGCCAGTTCACTGTTCCTCAAACCTTTGGAGAGTGTGTACTGTGGGCCAGGGACAAGTTGGCTGCTAAGCAGGACAGGCAGCAGCGGCAAAAACACCCAGAGGGCTGGATAAATGTGCTAGGTGGCCCGCATGTGGCCCGAGGGCCATAGTTTGAGGACGCCTGATCTGGAACAAAAAAAATGCCGACTTTCACCACTGTTATTCAACATAGTACTGGAAGATCTAGCTAAAGCAACCAATCTAGAGAAAGAAATGAACAGCATCCAAATGGAAAAGGAAGAAGTCAAATTATGCTTGTTTGCAGATGATATGATCTTATATCTAGAGAAACCTAAGATTTGACCCAAATACTATTAGAACTGATAAACAAATTCAGTAAAGTTGTAGGATAAAAAATCAACATACGAAAGTCAGTAGCATTTCTAATGCCAGCAGCAAACAATCTGAAAAGGAAACCAAGAATGCAATCCCATTTACAAATGCTACAAATAAAACAAAATACCTAGGAATAAACTGATCCAAAGAAGTGAAGGAATTATATAATGAAAACTATAAAACATTCAGGAAAGGACTTGAACAAGACACACAGAAAAATAGAAAGATAGTCCATGTTCATGGATTGAAAGAATCAATAGTGTAAAAATGGCGATACCATCCAAAGCAATCTAAAGATTCAGTGCAATTCCCACCAAAATACCAGTGACATTCTTTATAGACATAGAAAAAAATAATCCTAAAATGTATATGTAACTTCAAAAGACCCAGAAGAGATGAAGCCATTGTGAGCAAAAAAAACAAAACTGGAGAATCACCTTACCTAACTTGAATTATACTACAGAGCTTCGGTAAACAAAATAACATGGCACTAGCATAAAACCAGACACCTAGACCAATGGGACAGAATAGGGAACACAGAAATAAATTCACATATTTGTAGTGAATTTATCTTCGACAAAGTTGTCAAGAACATACAGTGAGAAAAGGACAGTCTCTTCAATAAATGGTGGTGGGAAAACTGGATATCCATATGCAGAAGAATGAAACTAGACCCTCATCTCTTGCCACTTACAAAATCAAGTCAAAATGAATTAACCCTTTGTACTTGGATGTGGAATGTGGATAATGTCGAGTGGATAATGAGAAAAAAGCAAGCGAGTACAAAGGGTTAAAGGATTAAGTCTAAGATAGGAAGATATGAAACTACTAAAAGAAAACATTGGTGATATACTTCAGAACGAGCGAGGACTTCAGTAATATCCCCAAAGCATTGGTCTGGGTGAAGACTTGAGTAATACCCCCAAAGCACAGGAAGCCATTGCAAAAGTGGACAAATGGGATCACATTAACCTAAAAATCATCTGCACAGCAAAGGAAACAATCAAGAAAGTAAAGAGAGAACCCACAGAATGGGAGAGAACATTTGCAAACTACCCATCTAACTGGGAATTAATAACTACAATATAGATGTAGGTCCAGCAACTCAATAGGAAAAAAGCAATTAACACATTTAAAAAATAGAGAAAGACCTGAATAGACATTTCTCAAAAGAAGAAATACAAGTGGCCAACAGGTATATGAAAAAATGCTCAACATCATTAGTCATCAGAGAAATGCAAATCAAAACTGCATTGAGATATCCTCTCACACCAGTTAAAGTGCCTTCATCAAAAATACAGGTAATAACAAATCCTGCTGAGGATGTGGAGAAGGGAGAATCCTCGTACGTGTTGGTGGGAATGTAAATTAGTGCAACCACTATTGAGAACAGTATGCAGGTTCCTCAAAAAACTAAAAGTAGAAGTGCCATATGACTCAGAAAATCCCACTGCTGGGAATATATATTTATGCTTGTTATATATATCGAAAGATATCTGCACTCCCATGTTTGTTGAAGCACTATTCACCATAGCCAAGATATGGAATCAACCTAAGCACCTATCTATGGATGAATGGTTAAAGAAATTGTGACACATATACATAATGGAACATTTTGTAGCCACAGAAAAGAATGAAACCCTGCCATTTCCAATGTTATGAATAGAATTGGAGAACATCATGTTAAGGGAAATAAGTTAAGCACAGATAGACAAATCTCATATGTTCTCACTCATTTATGGGAGCGAAATACTACAAACCATTGATTTCCTGGAGACAGAGAGTGGAATGACAGTTACCAGACTGGGAAGGGAAGCAGGGAGTGGGGAGAAATAAAACAGAAGCCTCAGACCTGAATGCAGAGATGGGAGAACTGAAGATGACTCCCCTGACCATATAAATCACAAAAGGATTTTATAGGAGCTGTCTCAGATCTCCCTGAGATCACTTAGAGACTTCTGTTTTCCAGTGACCCAACCGAATATGGATTTTCAGACCTCCTTTCTTTGTCCCGCTCCCATACTTGGAGTGATTCTCCTCCCCCCTTTCCTCAGTATGTCTTTCTAAAGTCAGTCTCTGCACAATACACTTTCAAGTTCTCCCTGTTTACAGGTAAGGGTTTTTTTTTTAATTTCAAAACATTAAGGGGGTACAAATGTTTTTGTTAAATGGATGCCTTGTATAATGCTTAAGTCAGGGTTTTAAGTGTCCCTCTCACCAGAACAGTGCTTTTATTGTACCAAATAGGTAAGTTTTTAAACCTCATACCCTTCTTACCCCCTCTCTGCTTTGGTTTCCAATGTCCTTTATATCTTTTTGTGCCCATTATCCCAAGTGAGGTATCTTAGGAATGGAAAAACATATAAGTTTAATTATACTAACGTTTATCTCTAAAAGTCTATCTTTTAAATGAGTGCCAACAAATGATTCTGAAATTGGAGTAAAGTACAATCTGCTGCTAAATAAAATAAATTCTGTTGAATTCCAGTGTTGATATGTTATTCGTGAATTAACGTTTTCCGTATACCAAAATCTTAAAAGTAAAGTCTTGAGTAGACACAGTAGATTTGGAATTACAAACTATGTCCAAATTACCCTATGCCTGCTACAGTCTAAATGTTTATGCTTCCCCACAAATTCATATGTTGAAATTCTAACCAGTGAGGTAATGGTATTAGGAGGTAATTAGAGCCCTCATAAAATATGCCCCATAGAGATCCTTTCCCTTTAATCAGGCAATGTTATAGCAAGAAGACTGCAGCCTATGAACTAGGAAGGGTCCCTCACTAGACACAGGGTCTGCTGTCACATTGACATTGGACTTCCCAGGGTCCAGAACTTTAAGAAATAAGTATCTGTTGTTTATAAGATACCTGGCTTATGGCATTTTGTTACAGCAGCCCAAAATGGGTTAAAACAATGCCGATTTCATACCAAAGCAATTTGAGAGGTTTTCCAGTAGGATTTCTCTGAATTCTCCAGCTTTTATTGGAGTTTGAGCATCAATGAATGGAGGTAGATATCTCCAGTGAGGCAGACTTAAGCACAGATTTCTAGAGTAGTATTTTTTGGGATCATCCTCTCTAATCTGAAGTTGGCAAGAAAACAATTTTGACTCTATGAGTGCCCAGAGTCCTGTGGATTAGCTCTTATGATCACATTCATAAGGGACTAGAGTAAAATCTAAAAAGAATTGGTGTACATACACACACACACATACACATATTCATTCTGTCATTAGTCAGTACATTTCTTTCTGAAGAAAAACTTATACAGGAAACAAAGTTACCATGCAATGATGACCAGGTATGGATAGAATTCGAGAAAAGGCCATCATAGGTTAATTAAAATGATTATGAGCTTTAAGCCATCATAGTCTAGAACAATCTTCTCAGAATAAGCTATATATACACATCCGTATTTACACAGACAAATACACAAACATGAGCACATATATATCTGCATGAATGTCTTGATTGCTTATTTCCTGACAAGAATGTTTTCTTTTTTTAGTACTTGCAACAAAATAAATAGTTAAGCAAATAAGCATTAGATTCCTCATATATTATATATCAACTGATATCACACTTTGCTACACCATAATTTTATCATGGCATTTTTCACTTCTGCATTCCTTAGTGTATAGATCAGAGGGTTGAGTAAGGGTGTGCCAATTGTATAAAACACAGCCACCATCTTGTCTATTGGAAAAGTGGTTGGTGGGCATGTGTATATAAATATACATGGACCAAAAAATAGGACAACCACAATAAAGTGGGAAGTGCATGTGGAAAGTGCTTTTCGCCTTCCTTCTGCACTGTGGTTTCTCAGAGAGTATAAGATGACTATATAAGAGATCAGCAGAATTATGAAACTCACCATGCATATGGCCCCACTATTAGACACAATAAGTAAATTTATCACATGAGTGTCCATGCAGGCAAGTTTCAACAAGGGCTGCAAATCACAGAAATAGTGATCAATCACATTTGGGCCACAGAAGGGCAATCTCAAAGCCAGGAAAATCTGTGCTGAAGAATGAATGCAAGACCCTACCCATGCCAAAATCATCAATATACCACAGACACGCCGGCTCATAATTGTTGTGTATCTCAGAGGCCTACAAATAGCTGCATAGCGATCAAAGGCCATGAGAATGAGCACAAAGATCTCCATGCATCCAAAGAAATGCGCTGCAAAGACCTGAGTCATGCACTCATTGTAGGAAATGGTCTTCTTCTGAGAAAGGGCATCCACAATCAACCTGGGGGCTGTGGTGGTTGAGAAGCAAGCATCAGCAAAGGACAGGTAGAATAGGAAAAAGTACATGGGACTCCCAAGGGTCTGGCTTGTTTTAATAGTCACCACAATGAGAAAGTTTCCCAACAGAGTTGCAAGGTAAAGAATCAAGAAGATCCCAAATATTGCTTTCTGCTTTCCAGCATCCTGTGTCAACCCAAATAGAATGAATTCAGTCACACTGCTATTAATCATTGTATAAGCGTCTGTAGGTAGGGTCCGGTGGAAAATCTGCAGACAGAAGGAAAGAAATGACATCTTGGGGTGATCCATTGGCTGACCTTGGAATTCCCTGGTTCTGTTCCAGGCCTGTTAACCTCCAACTGCCTCTGTGAATCGCCTATGAATCTTTGTCCATCTGCAGATGCCGAGGCACCTCCAGGATTTATCTGTTAACTCAGAAACTCAGTGGACTGGACCCAAGCTTTTGCCTTTAGGGAGTAAAAAATAAATGCTCTTCAAAAATGTTGACTCTTACCTATACTGAGAACTACAGAACGTGTTCTTTCATTGGACAAGTGACTTAACTACTTTGAAACCTAGCTTTTATATATGAAAAATGGTATGCAGAAATGTGCCCTAACTTATTCTGAATTTTCAGAAGAATTAAAGAAGATTTTATACCCTCACATATACACATATACATATATTTCTTGTATTATGCATCTTATCTCTGTGCTTTGCAATCTGAAATAGACTATTCCAATATAATTAAGCATCAGTATTGTTGAAGAATCCCTCTGAAGAACATCTTCCCCATTCAGTTCATTCATTTTTGTGTCCATTATGCCTCACCCCTTTAGTATGTTGGATTAAATATGCTTTACAAAGAATCTACTTTGACAACCATTCACTTATGCCTCTTGTGTTCAAGATGTCAGCTCACTGATGGTCATGATATAACAGATGTCTGGATGATATCTTGAAATTGGCATAATTGAAAGAAACTACTCTTTACCCTTTTCACTGTACACTTAAACTTATACTGTTAACATATTGAGCTTCTCTGCCTATGAATTTGACCTCTTATAAAATTTACAACATGACTGGGACCTAAGTAGAGTTTTTTTTTTTTTTCAATCATATATGTGGCTCCTTACTTGTACATCTTGAATTCCTTAGGATACTTTTTCTAAAAACATTATTTGAAAAAAATTCCATAATCTCAATGTATAATTTTATGATTTTTCTATTTCAAGTCCTAGTTCATCACATATATGGGTTATATGATTGAAATCATCATATAATATGATTTTGTATCCTGATCTTAACAGAATTGTTAGAGTTATTCTCATGTTGTTATCCTCTTCACAGTTTGCCAATTTAGTGGTATAATATATAAATTTTTATAAGAAATATTTATGTGACCATTTGTCCATTGAGACATTAATCGTCGCTTCATCTTTTCACTCTTATACATCAACTCTGCAAAAACTTGAGAGTAATTTCCTGGGTGCAATATTGTTATCTAAATACTAAAGATTATCATTGTTATAAAGTATTAAAATTATTTTTCATTAATTTGTACTCATTTATTACCTATATATTTATTATAAAATAATTCATGATCATGATGAAATATTCCAAATATACAGGAAAACATGAATATAAATATTAAAATCTCCCTTCAGATGATTTGAATATATCATCTTACTCTTCAGAATACACTCTTAGTTTTTGTATATACTTCCAGAAATATTTATAAATATATTTGCATATGTGGGTATAATATCTCTATGGCCTTATTTTACATGTACAAATATGGCTAGTGTTTCATTGTTGATGATTGGTCCAAAACTTTGGGGCACACGCAAAAAAAAATTATCTTATGACAATATCATATTATCTTACTAGGTTAATAGGAATAAACTTATATTTTATTATAGTCATATAAACTTTATCAACCAAATTTTACATTTTTATACATTTTTTTAAAATACTGCCTTTCAGGTCATCTTTCATTTTTTTGGTGCCCATCTTTTGGAATCTTGATATTTTAGTAAAATGAACATTAATCTAGCCACATAATTATATTTTTAATTCAAAATTGTGATTTTGCCTTTTCTCTGTTATTATTTCTCTTTTTCTGTGAACTTTTTCCTTTTTATACATTTCCATCTGTCAATTTTCCAATTTTAATTAGTCCCTTGTTTAAAAAATTATAATATTCTATACTTTTCTGTAATCACATAATCATCTTTTATTTCAAATATTCAATCAAAATTGCCTGGAATTAAAATTATACATCAATTAATTAAAATTATGGTGTAAATATTATTGTGAAAAATAGGAAAAATGCTCCCTTTTATGACAACTTACATGAATTTTAAGAAAATTGTAGAAAAGATGATTAATTATGTAAGGCACTATGTGATTGGTATTAGAAGACTGGAAACTATCATTAGGGAGAAGAATACACATTCCTAAAAATATAGATTGTTCAGTGAAGAATTCAAAATTATGCAGAGACAACCTATAACTTTAATTAAAGAAAGCCAGGTTCTCAACCAGGTTCTCAGAAATGCAAACACTGGAACTAGAGTCCAGAGGTGTGTTGGTTTATCACAGTGATCAGTGCAGACTCTGAAGCCACACTGCCTGGACTCAAATCCCACCTCATAGCCCATCAGGGGTCTGATATTTAACAAGCCTCTTGATAGTCACACGTAAAACATAAATAATAAAATGATCTACCTTTTCGTGTTGCTACAAAGGTTAGATAATTCAGTATGTGCAAAGTATATAGAAGATGAGGCTACTCACTGTGTGTAGTTGTTGCAGCTATTTCATCATGGTTATTCATGCTGGCTTTCCGACAGATACTCTCCATTTTTCAAAAAGGCCCATTTAAATTATTTATGTACCCATAATACAGTTGCACAACTAACTGTTTTAAAACATCAAGTGCCTTTGCTGGGTGGCTGAAATTATATCAGCACTGTGGATAATACTAGCTTTTTCTTGCAGTGATCAGAAGCCAGGAATGACAGTGCCCAATATCTTTAATAAATATAAAAAACAAAATGCATAAACGTACATAATATCTTGAACATATGGGACCCAGGATAAGAGGAAAAGGGAAATAAAATAAGTCTTGCTTGTCAAAAGGGTTGGGACCAAGAGATATGAAAATCACACCAGTGAGGGCACTTAGAATGAGAGAAAGGAAACCAAGTTTTAATGGAAGTCAGAGGGAAAGGCCATTATCAGGCAAATAGAAGATCCATATGAAACCTCTAGTTAGTCAGACTCCACAGTCACCCTAGAAAGGCTTGAAAGAGTAGGTTGTCCTCCCTTCCAAAGGCCATGAAAAACAGGTTGTGAAGTTTTAATAACTTTTCATGGGCAAAGTATAAAATCTGGAGACATAAAAATATGAGAGCAGTCGATTTAGTTTTTAAAAAGATCACATACCGTTAAACAACTCTGAGCATTTTTTTGTTCATCAACTAAAAACAAAAATGCTCAGAGTTGTTTAATGGTATGTGGTCTTTTTAAGAACTAAATTGAGTGCAACTGGATTAGAGCTTACCTGTAGTGAAGAGCCTACCTCCTGTGAGATGCCAGAGCCCCACTGAAGACAGCAGTGTTTCTGTTCCCTGCACCTAGACATCAGTGGGAAGCAACACCCCTGTAGTGCCTGCAGGCTTCCCAAACAGGGTCATCAGAGGCTTCAGACTGGCCCCTTCCTTTCTGAGGCAGGATCAGAAGCCATCACGCTCAACTACTCCTGTGAAGGATGGGAAAATGTGGGGAATAGCGAAGTTAAACATCTCCCCTCAGGTGTAACAGGATTTTTTCATATTCCCACGACATACAACATAATTCATTTTGTACAATATTTAGTAGTCATCAAATTATAGATAAAATGTGTCCCACAATTCAGTGGAAGTGAAATAATAACTCATGTTGGGTGAGATACCACAGTGAATTTTCATTATGAGAATTATTAGCTCACACGTACCAAGATCCAGGCTGAGAGTTCATGAATGCCAAGATTACAAATGGCCAATCCTAGATTCCTTGAAGTGGATTCTCACAGACCTTTATTTAGATGGCTATTCTGTCTTTAAACAGAAAAAAGGACTCAAATACAAGTGTTCCCCCTTCTTGCTTTTACTGTCTTCTCCCCCTTTTTGCCTTATTACTACCACTTGGAAAGGAAAAATGACATTTTGAAAACGTGATGATTCATAAATATAAAAAAAGATTACTCCAGTTTGCAAATGCAATGGCTGAGATGCTCACTGCAGCTTTCAAAGCCCCTGACTTGGTGCCCTCACTTGCCTTCCACTTGTCCTCCCAGTGCTCCTGATCATCCGTGCTCCATCCAGGCCTGACATTTTCTGTGCCTCATAAATACACCTAGACATCTCACTCCCTGATTATTCCATATCTCAGAGAGGCTGAATGACCTGCCCTCTGCTATGACCTCAACCCCCCATTTCTACCTGTGCACAGAGTACCCAGTTCAAGTACCAACTGCTCAGCAAAGCCTTCTCAGATTTCCCAAAAAGCTCTGTCACTATTAATGGCCTTGCGCTCTTAAAATGTGTGTGTGTGTGTATGTATTATTCAATCATGTATTTCATATGTGTATCCTTCTCTCACTTTTCCTTCTACATCTTTTGCCCATTTGATTGTACAATATCTCATAAGGCACACTGGTGTGGCTCTGCTTAGTACAGTTTGGGCTAAGCTGGGAGGCAGAGTTTACCAGTGAGCAGTTAGCGAGGATCTAGGACCAGAACCCAAGCCTGTGTGATCCACAGCAATCTCTCTCACATCCCACCCACACTGCCATGCAAGGCATCAGAATCGACCATTCATGTACAGCCAGCTGAAAGCCAAGAAACCATAAACAGGTGAGGAAGGAAACCACTGACATGTTCAGTTCATGTCTTGACTACCAAATAGATGCTGTCCTCAGGATGAGTCAAAGAGATAAGCGTTTTATATGCATGTTTGATAAGTAAGAGTGAGGAGGAGATAGAAAGGTTATAATAATAGGAGGATTCAGATCCGAAAGGAAACAGGAAATGTTACTGTGAACGAGACTCAGAGAGAGAAAAGGAATCAGGAGATGAGACAGAGAAAAGCACATATATTAAACAAAGATGAGCTAAAACCCATGGCAGGGATAAAGAGTAGTTTCTCCAGGATATCCCTAAAAATTTTTGTTTCTTTCTCCTCCA